TGGTATCCCCCGCCCCCCCCCCCGCCCCTCCCTTAAATTGTGCCCAAATTTAAAGCCTGTAAAACTCTTCACATGTATGGATCCTCTCAGAAGTATGGATGCTGAAGCTGTATGAGAATTGTATGGATCCAAAGATTAATATCTTGAAATGCCCACACGTTCACTGCTGCCTTCTAGAAAACATCTGTATAATCCTTCAGCTTTTAAAACTCTTTTGCTTATGTTAAGACTTTCATTTCTGAAACTTCGGTCGTTGTGAAGTTACAGCTTTAGGGTCAAGTGTGTACAGGTTCTGCTGGTCTGTCTCGGTTGTCTTATCTTTCCTGCCAATCTTGCTCAGCTGTTGTGCTAGTACAAAGCTCTGGTTTTGCGGTAATAAATGTTCATATTCTGGAAGCAGACATTTAGGATTCCTTTGCAAACAGGAGGCTGCTAAGGTAACAGTGAGGCACAGACTTGAAGGTTTGGCCCAGTGATGATCAAGTATCGCGCTAAGAGAGAACAGGTCTGACAGTCGATTGTCTGGGCAGCCTGCACTTCATGCTTTTCCTTCTTTTTGCTCTCTTACATCATCTCTCCTTCTCTCTGCTTTTTTTTCTTCCTTATCTTTCTTTGTCTTTTCTGCTTTGCTCTTCTGCCCAGACAAGATTGTGGCCTTCTCAATGACGGGTAAGATTATGAGATCTGAGGGCTGAATAATGACTTGAGAATCTTCCATTTTAGGAACAAATTGAACAAAATGGAAGAATTTAGTCAGCTTACCTCCTCGTCCCTATGGTCTTTTGCTGGTGAAAAACTTAACCTTAGTGGTGCCTTAAAACTGGTTCTTAATGCTTTTTGAAGCTGTGAAGTATGAATTCATCTTTGTTCAGCGTATCTTCTCTTGAACTGCAGAAGAGTTTGTTCGGAGAGGTTCATCCAGCTGCTGCTTTTGGGTTTCTGTCCTGGCTCATTAAACTTGGATTTGTTTTGTCATACAGGCAGTTAATAGTTAAGTATTGGATTTTTCTCTGTAGCTAAACATTTGTTTAAGCCCGTCATATTTATTTTGCCCTGATTTGTTGCGACATCCTTGTGAGAAAGGAGGATTGAGTCTTTGTAACAGAGAATCCTCAGTGCTAATATTGGTTAAATTGATATTTTTCTATCCAGCCATCTAAAATGTAACTTAAAATGTCTTTGGTAAAGCAGATTAATTTGACCGCGCAAAACTGGGCTGTTAAAAGGTGATTTTTGTTTTGCTTTCCGGTTACATATGAAATGCTGCAAAACTTCCAGCTGTAGCAAGGCTATGGAGAAGTCCATCAGATAGTGATGGAGTTGATTTTTAAATAGCACAGGATGATGGCTGAGCAGAGGGACGAATCTCCTGCTGCTACAGCCACATCACTTACTGCTGTTAGGATTTAGTGCTAACAAATAATAATTTATCATTCGTTGAATTCTCCTATTCTGCTTTCTTTTCCTCCCAACGTAAATTCTCTGGCCAAGTGGGAGAGAAGAAGTTTATTGGTGGAAGCTGGAAGGAAACTACCTCTTTGTTAGGCAGTCTAGGGACTGTGGCATCCACAACATGCCTTTCCATATTCGCTTAGCTTAGAGAAACCAAAAGCTGCATGATTTACGGTCTGTTGAAAGAAAGGACCCTTTTTCAGGCGGCAGGCTGCTCCTCGATTACTCTGTAAGAGACCATGTAGTCAAGTTAACTTCTCCTCCCGGACTGGAATAATACTTTGGCTGGCAGTGAGAGAATTTATTCTGATTGCATGGAATGTTATCATGAGATTGTTTTAAGAACAGTAAGCATGCAAAATCCTCCTTCTGTCCTGAAACTATGAGATGTGCAGGGTTGACCAGAGGAGAAAGATATAGTTTAAGGCGCTTGCCGAAGCTGGTTGGTGCTGCGTGGAAAAGACAGCAAGGTGCAGAAGTGGAAAATAGTCTAAGGCACCTGAATGCTGCTCCAGAAAACTGTTCCGTGTTATGGTAGGTCAGAGTTTTTCCTGGGTAATTCTGCATTTAAGACCCTGAGCCATAACTGGCAGAAACACTGAGCATGCACAGATGCATCTACGTTCAAAGGAAATAACAGCTTTAATGCTGAATAATCAGTAACTGGGTAAAATGTCTGGGGTGTTGTGAACTGCAGAGTCAGTCTTTGACAGCAGGCACAGTGAGGCTGAGATCCTGGCTTTTCAAGCTCCTGGGGGGGTGGGCTCAGCTACCCTAGCTTGATCTCCCTTGTTCTCTTCAGCCAATGTAGTCATCTTCTGCTCCTGGCTTCTTGTTTCAGTTCGTTTTTTTTGCCTGTGGCCAGATGAGTTTGTTCCTCAGGTTTGGCTTAGTTCTCCAGATCACTTTCCAGTACCCTGTGTCCATGCTGCAGGCCCAGACAAATGAAGAATCCCTCTTTGGGTCCTTGTGGCTCTTCTACCACCCTTAGGTTTTGGGGGTTTTCTGTTGGTCGGTCTGGCGTTTTTTTCCCCCTGCCCCTTTGGTATCCACTGGGCAGTGATCTCGATGTTTTCTTCAAATGGCAACACTTGACAGGAGGGGAGGTTGCAAGAAAACTAGAACAAAAGGAATAGATGGAGGTAAGGAAGAACAATTTCTTTGTTCTTGACAAACGTGTGTAGGAAACAGCTTCTCTGATGGAGTTCCAGTACTTACTGACCTCCTCCTTTCTTGTCAGCTACGAACTCACTGTAGTTGGTGGTAGTTTTGCATCTCGTTCTTTAAACTCTGGTTACACAGCTGCTGCTCTGTGTCCCGCAGCGTGAAGCCTCACTTCCGATCGGCTAACAGCTCGGAACACGGCGTGGAGGGGCCAGCTGCCGTCAGCACCATGCCAATGGGGGATGGACCACTGAACAGAACCAACTCAAGGAATTTTGTTATGGAGCGACATAACAGTACGTTAACTGGGCACCAAGACCAAGGTTATTCCCAGAAGGATTCTCCTACCGCACAGATGGAGCAGAACGGAGATTATGGCATTGGCAGGGGCAGGTAAAGAACTGTGTGTGCTGCTTTTTGCTGTAATGCAACAATGCAGTTGGGACATGGTGTTGGAGGTTCAAATGACTTGTGTGAGCCAAGCATCATCAACCGTTGGCACGATACATATTTCTGTAAAGACAGACCAGGAGAAAACTGACATTTAAATAAACCAGGTGTGATAAATACTTAAATGGAAGCATGAATACTGCCTGCTTGACTGTGCAGCTATTAGTTATTCTGACAAACACCTTGCAGTAAGATCGTGAGGTGTCTTTATTTCAAAATACCTGCCTGATTTGTCCCTAGAATTAAACAGTTGCTGAGGTAAAGTTGGTATTTGTATTGCTGTAGATAATTTAAGCAAGTCCTCGGTGGGGGAATTTGATGATCCTAAACATTGTAAGATCAACTGGTTTTACCTTTTGTCTGTTAATTCTGGGTGTAGACACTTAAAAATAAGTGACCAAGACAGATATGTGAGAAATCAGATGAATAAGTTTATTACTATAAAATTATAGGATACTATTCTATAATATTATAGTCTAATTGTCACTGTACTTGTTCAGATACAATGCTCTAGGGTACCTCCTCCACAGGAGAGAAAAGAGAAATTGTTTCCCGTATTGGCTATGTTCCAAGAGTGTAAGAGCTTTGACCCCTCCTGAAGATGGAGAACATCCCAGAACTGTATCTTGAGAAACATCAGTAGGCTGCTGTAAATCCCCTGCCGCAGGCTCCCCTTTGTGCAGATGAGTGTGCACTTCAGCGAGATGAATGCACTTACTGACTTTTTTTTGCCTTTAAAGGAGGAACGTTTTCCGAGGTCGGAGGAGACGAGAAGATGACCGGGTTTCAGTAAGTTTCACTTCCCTTATTGCAGGGAGTTGCACAGTGCAATGTGTTGCCTGCGCGTTTATTGGAGGAATGGCACAGTCCTTAAATTCTCAGATTACGTTGTGGGTATTCAGTGTTTCTAGGAAATTCCCTGACACTTGCTCAATGCTTTTAATGCTAGGTGTTACGGCTCTATTAACGGGTATTTTCCTTCTCTAGAGACCTCAGCCTTCAGCAGAAACAAAGACTCAGACACCAAAGTTTGACTTGCTAGCATCAAATTTCCCACCTTTGCCTGGCAGCACAGCAAAAATACCAGGAGAGCCTGTGCTGGAGAGCAGGATGTCCGATATCGTTAAAGGAGTCTGCAAAGAAAAGGTACCCCCTCTTTCTCTGGCATGCACACAGGAGCGTGCGTATGCTGCGTCTCCCTTCTTCCCTGCTTAAAGAATCCGTTTGTAGAGCTGCACGTTAGAATGGTTTAAGCCCGAACATCGCACTGTGTTTGTTAATACAATAGTGCATTTTCTGTCTTTCTGTTCATGGATTTCCTTGGCTTTTTGCGGGTATTTAGCTGAAGCTTCCGTAATTACACTATTGTAAGCTTGGTACTGTTTTGGAATGAGCAGGCAAATGAGGAGTGTTGGCTGTGGAAGGAGGAACAGTTTGTGTGTAGTGTAGGCAAGGGCCTTTTCCAGATGAATCGAGCCGGTGGGACTGCATTGATAACCTGGGTGATACAGCCTTACCTCTCGCTTTATCCGCTATTTCTTTTACCCATGTAAAGGATGATTTGCTTTAGAGGCGATGCTCCAAAAGAAGTAGAATTCCTGTAATCGGTACTTGAGCAGCTTTTGGAAATATCCCACTTTTCAGTTGTCTTGAACTGGCATATTGAGGAGCAATTTAAGCACATCTGCAATCTTTCCATATTTTGCAACTTATGCTTTCTGTACAGGAAAGCAAAGATTTGCTGCCCAGCTGTCCAGCTCCTGCTCAGGAAGAACAAACGCACAGCACTGTCCAAGAGCCTGTGACCAGTGTGGGTTCACCAAGTGAGACTGAAGCTGTGGTGTTAAGGTATGTGGATGGCTTGAATCAAGAATACTAAAATTTGCACGTTCTAGCAAAGACTCTAGCTGGCGTCCGGCAAGGTGGCAATAATGTTTGTTGTTTCTTCTCTGTCTGCGGTAGGCAGCTTCTCTAGAGGCCACTAGATGGAAATAACAAATTGTGGTGGCAACGGCTGTACCATCGTGTTCTGCAAAAAACACAGCTGTGACTTCAAAGAAAGAAAATACTTTCTCAAACGTTAATTTCTACGTTAGTAGGTTTTGATGTTAAATTGTTCTTGATTTAACAGCACAGTTCAGCCAGAGAGTAAAGCGGAAGAAGTGTCTGCTCAGAAAGATGTCACAAGCCACGCTTCCCCACCGGCGTCTGTCTCTCCTGTCAGCGCCGCGAAGCCGCCAAGGACAAATACCACTTCACCTTCGGCTAATGCAAGCGCAGCTCCTGCTTTGCTGCTGCAGGTAAGGCGCAGAGCGGGCAGTGAGCGGGGAGCACGGGGAGCTTTCTCTCGGATGTGCTGATGTAGCACCCGGGACCTTCTCGTGTGCAGTTTGCCACAGCTGCGGTGTAGTGGCTCGCTGTACGTGTTCTTGCTGTTGGGCCTTGACATTGTGCCTGGGATAGTCTGGAAGGGCACGGTGTGGTTACTCCGGTGTGTAAACCTTGCTCTTCTCCCTTGGTCCCAAAGGAGCCACGCAAGCTAAGTTATGCTGAAGTTTGCCAGAAGCCCCCAAAGGAGCCTCCTCCAGTCCCTGTTCAGCCTCTTAGGGAACATCGCACCAACATAGTTCCCCCTGCCAAAAATGAAGAAAACGGCACACCTGAGAAGGCTCCGGAGAAGGCTCATGACAAGGTTGAAGGTCGAATGAAGGATTATTCTGGGTTCCGAGGCAACGGGCCTCCCAGGGGAGCTGCTGGGAAAATCAGGGAACAGAGGCGCCAATTTGGACGCAGATCATCGCCTCAGGGAGCACCTCGACGTATCGGCAAGGAGCAGTACGTGCCACCCCGGTCACCAAAGTAACACTTGTCCAGCCAATTATTCTCTATTTAATTTGAGCTGTGGACTAATAAGCAGCAAAGGAGACTGTGAGGAAGAAGTATTCGTGAAGGGGAATACTGAACTGGAGCGTGGCTTGTGTGGAGAAGTTGTGGAGGGTCCCAAAATTCATCTCTAAAAGTGATTTCACAAATGCTGGAGGATTCCAATCAATATAAATATAGAGATTATAATTTTTGTATTTTTGTTTTTAATTTGCAGAGGGTTTCCTGCTTGAAATCAGTTTTGGGGTTGTGAACTAGCATTTTGACAAAGTGAAAGAATATGAATTGACAAATTAACCTGTCCCTCAGTGTAGGAGGAAAAGGATAAGAGAATATTATTTTTGAAAAAATGAGCATTTCTGTAAAATTAGAACTTTTTTTAACCTATTTAACATTTGGCTTGTCGGATGATGTGTCTGCCATTGATGGCCTTGCATTGCAGAGCACGTCTGCGGCTGAGGTGCTTGGTCGGCGTGTGAGTGGAGTGAGTGCAGCCAGATACTGTTGTCATGACTTAGTCACTGATGATAAAAACTGAATGTACTACTGTAGTAAACTTTGTGTTTCCAGCTTGAAGTGTAGTCTCTTGACCTTACTAATAATTCACTCAGCAAGCTTTTTAAACTATAGTTTTTACAGGATACTGGATTGTAGATCAGAGCACACGGACAGCAAAAATTGTCTTCTAGACGCAATGGGAAGGAGGCAGAAGGGAGCACGTCAGAATTTTTAATTTGCCCTTTTTCCTCGCCTCCTTTTGAGGGCAACTTCTTAGGTTTGTGGTTTGGTTTGGGTTTTTTTTTTTCCCCCCCTTGTTTGTTACTTTCTCTAATCTCTTTATTACAGACTCTTGTGCGTTTCTCTTGGTATGTTTTCCCGAGGCAGGCCCCGTATAGGATCGGCGGGTGGCTACACAGTACGTGATGTTAGCTTTGCAGGTAAAGAGTCTGGAATTGCAGTTGCAGACATGGAATTCTGCCTTGCAGGAGGGAACTCTGGGCACGGAGTTCTGCGTGCCCCCCCAGGGTTAAAGCGATGCCTCCCCGAGTGGCTAGCAAATCGGAGGTGTGGCTGGGTTTTCTGTATGCTGACCTGTCTTTGTGTTCTGGAGTAGGGTATTGGATGCTGTATACTAGAAATCAGGGTTTATATCTACTGGGAACTCATTGTTTACAGCTGATGTAGTAGCAACTGACTGTTTTTAACTGTTTAAAGTGGAAGTAAAGGTAAAGAGTTAAACAAAGCCCCTCATGTTCGGAGAAGCTACTCGAAAGGTAGCGGCTTGCCTAGCTGTATGCTGACTAAATTCGCAACACTATTGTGTAGTAAGTGGTTATGCTTCAAGGTGATTACCATAATGACCGAAATAGGAAATTTCAGTGCATTAATCTGCCAAAATCAGCATGCCAGGGTTCAAAGTTCTGTATAAAGTGTTAGGGAAAAGTAGCTTCCAGCAGTAAGAATCACACCTCTTTTTTTCTTCTTTTTTTAGTGAATAGCAAGTGTACAAATTTAAAGTCGTAAGTTGTGAACACTGGAAAACTCAATTGTGATATATACCGTAAACATCTTAGTAATATATGCTAGTGTTGCCATTAGAATGAATGTAAGTGGCAGTTAAAATAACTGTGAAAATTTTCATCTTCTGATTTCTTAGCCAGATAGCCCGTGACGACTTCTTACTCAGTAGGCATTCTCTATCAACTGCTTTGAGAACACTCATATCTATTTTTATAAATATATATATAAAGCCAGAGTTGTCATTTCTCTAACTTATTATTCAGCTTGGCAATTGCTTTGATTTGATTCATAACACAATATAATGTATTTATGCAGTTAACTGTTCATTTCTACGCATGTTATATATATATACATATAT